CGGATATGAAATACACGGTGGAAAACAGCTCCGAGAAGAATCTTCTGTTCGAGCTCAAACGCAGGTTCCTACCAGCGCTCTCTGGCCGCGTAAAGACGCACCGGGGTATGGATAGAAGGCAAAGTTGCTGTACTGGTATAACTTCTATGGGTCCTTGAAACGAACGGATCAGTCGGGAAACTTCGTCGGCCGGTTCCTACAGAGAAGAAACGAGAGACCAAATCACCTTGACCCAAGATTTTGGCGAGCTCTCGCGAACGTCAGGAGCGTCGGCCGCCTTTTTATATAACCTAACTTTGAAGTTTCACAGACACCGCAGGCAACCATCAGGCGTCAAGGAATCAGGTCGAAGGAACCAATGTCCCCCCATAAGAAACTTCCCCGGCCGTTTACAGTATCCGGTTCGGTTATGGGCAGAGCAACTATATCGGCGAAATTAGACAATTTCTCTGAACGTGGATGGCCGACCACACAGCAACAGTAAGGAAAAGTACAAAGAGAAGAAGAATGCCGGTTCCTAGGTCGCAGCTCACTAGAGGCATCAGGTCGCACCTTCAGGTTTTACGCGGCCGAAATTATCGCGACGAGGTGACGACCACATGAGCAGCGAGCTGCTTTAGTTGTGACTCTCTAGCCCGCAATCCATCAACAAGTGTAATGACCTCCTCCCTCCCTATACATTTCGAAGGTTTTGTCTAGATAAAGTAATTTTTCGGGAAATGATTGCCCGACTTAACACTGTTCTGAATGACCTAAACTGCCGTGTCACTATCACGCCAACCACCACCATCGGTGATTGAACCACGATCACTAACGAAACAGAGGCTGATGGACAACTTCCTTTTCTTGATTCCCTTGTACATCAAAACTGACGGGTCATTTCATGCACCACTCTATCGGAAAGGGACATATTCAGAAGTCATCTTACATTTCGAGGGCAATCATACAGTCTCTCGTCACCGGAGGTTTGTATACAGCCTGCTAAATCGAGTGAAAACGTACTACTCTGATGAAGGAAGTTATCGAACAGAAATTAACTACCTTTTCAAACTACTTCCCCGAAATGCGTACCCCTTGACTTTGTACGTCAATGCACGAGACATCAAAAGTACAAAGAGAAGCGTACTTCCAACGTTATGGCCGCTCAGGCATCAAAGATAATCACTTGGTTAAGTCTCCCGTACGTACAAAATGTATCTTAACTTGTCCATTGACAACTAAAACATCTGATACAAGTAGCACACTAGCCCGCAACTGCCTTACGTACACAGCTTGTGCAACCTAAGGACAGGGTCGTCTATCGCGATAAAAAAGGTGTTGTCTACGAAACCCTATGTGTCAGTTGTTATGTTATCTATTTTAACCAAACCGGAAATTTATCTTTAGTCGTAAACGTGAACATCAGTTAGTTGTGAAAAGACAAGACCATCTATCGTAGATGGCCATGCTCATCAATGTAGATTCTATATCCCAATTTTTTAAGAATAACTGGAAACGAACGAAGCCGACACTGATGTAATTATGAAGTAAAATTTACGTTTGTTGGTGCAGGCTTCCTCCAGCTACAGAATCATTTGTTAGACCAGATTAAATGGGTAACTGTTTTTGTACATGACCCATAGGTCTGACGACGAGCTGGGTAGCTAGGCTCGAAAATTTCATGCCCAAACAATTTCAGCTCTACCTAGTTAGACTATTTCGGGCTCCCGTTTCTCAATATTTCACTGTATGCTAAATTTCAGACGATTATATATGAGTATACACGCAATGTTGTATTCTAGTATGTATTACGTGTTATTACGGAGTTATATATTTTCGCGTGAAAATCAGCATAACATTTCCGTTGTCAGGTATGAAAATTTTGCTGTTTATATGAAATACTACCTCGCTAAGACTTGCCGAAATACGAGGAGTAATTTCTTCTGCGCCGTGAAATACTATTGGATTCTGCCCTTTTGACCGTCAATCAATACTATGCAATCTTTCCCGGGTTTCTCTAGTGCATCCAAATAAGGATGTGTTTTGGAAAAAAACTTTCTGAGCAGTGCGTCCCTGACTATCCCTTGTTGCTCGGAGTTTTCTGTTTTCTCCTGTGCCACTAAAAACATGGATTAATCCGGACCCTTAAATTTAAATAAGGAGGAGCAGAGGTTGGTGAGTGACCACTTAGATTGTCGCTCACAGGAGCACGTCACTCGAAACGCTACAGTTACAGGCTTCGTTCACTTGCCCTCTTGGGGACTCGGACTGAAGGAACAAATGGGTACAACTCTGCTTAGAGGATGTTTAGACGCCCAGACTCATAAACGCAGGGCATATTTCAGCATATTCAGGTGGGGTTAACAGCGTGTGACTTTTTCAACTTCTACAGTCTCCCCACGCCATCTCTACCCCCCCCCCCTCCCCATCCTATGTCCTCTTGTGCGTCGAGCACTGGGACTTCAATTATTAGTGTATCCATTGAAGGGCTGTGTTTTATGGACATGTCCAAGGGGGTGTGTGTGTGCAACGTCTGCGTTAACAGACAGAGAACGCAAGCTCGTCGCCAAGCCCCAGTGCATACTCAGAGCCCAAATTCCCTCCCCCCTGGGTATCACAGTCAGCGGGCAAGACTGATACATGCCGCGCTGGACAGACGGGAGGGGGCAGAGTGCATGGCAAGAATGTTGTGGCTGGGTTCAAAGATAAACGCCCCACCTCTTCACTAACGAATAAGGACATTTCAAACGGCTGACTGGATATGCGTATATTCAAAAATCCACTAATTTATGATCCTGGCCACTAAAGCATTTCATTTGTCCATATTTAGTTTTAGGACTACTCGTCAGTTCATATAAAAGGACTCGACTGAGTGTCTTCGGGGGTAACATAACAAAAATCGTCCAAAATTTTTTTTTAATCTGAATTCCCTTGAACTTATAGTATGTCAAGGACATAAATACTAGTACTTAAGAGACCGTAGGCTTCGGCACGATGTATGGTATCGAAACCCTATCTCCTAACTATTTCACTGAAAAATAGAAGAAGGTATAAGCTAGATGGATAATGGCTTCCTTCTGGGCGTTATGATCCTCGATGATTGCAAGGCTCTTCAATAAGAAGGCATTATAGGGGACCGCGTTTGAAGCTCATCAGTTGTGTACAGTCATGGAAGAAACGTATCTTTAAGGCTTCTGGTCGCCAGTGAATTAAACTCGGGAGATCTGAACCTAAGTAAGGCGTAAAAATTATCCAAATACATATTCCTAAGACTGTCAATGCTACTGTAATTTTGGGGTCCTAATCCACTGCAAACTAAATATGCTAATTTATTCCACACTCCCCTGGTTTCCCCTCTTCATCCTCCTCATTGGAGAGGCAAAAATGAAGCCAGCTAAACCTCCTTCTAAGGCAGTTGCATTTTCTTAATTCACACGATTGTGCCTAACACACTGTCTCTCTCTAACTCGCTCTGGCAGACTGTCCCTAGACTCTGTCCCGATTGCAACTTTAACGGACCATAGATGCGACCAACAGTGTACGCTCTCCTTCCTCCTCCGCTACTGCTTATAGTTTGTGGTTTGGACTGGGCAGCAGGCACGATGAAGATTGGGAAGAAGTGCTTGCCGGGCGTTTCCTAACTTCGCAGGATGTTAACAGCCGCTGCAGCATCTCCCGCTGCGGAAGCGCCTCGCAACTATAGACCTGTAAACCACCCGATGGCAGGTGGGCGTGAACATCTTGATTGGCTGATAGAAAACCCACTCGTAGAATTGTTATAGGGCTATGGATTTGCGCGACAAACTCATGTCTCCCGACATAAAGGGGAGAAAGGCGTGGCGGCTGCGACTCACTGCTTCTGGTATTGATAAATATGAGAGTTCAGAAGGCTATCCGGTACGGATACGTTTGTTTTCGGTAAATTCTTATCAAGTCAGCTCACTTGTTTTGGAACGGGATCGAGTAAAATATTTGAGGGATAAGAGGAATCGACTAAACTTCCTCTTTTTACACAAGTGAGTTGTGGGTACGTGAGAGGAGGAAAATGAGAGGCAGTCAGTATGGATGCAGTGAGGATTAGGAAGTGCCGTATGAGGATGAGGAGGAGGAGGAGGAGGAGGAGGAGGATGATGAAGGGAAAGAGGAGGAGTAGGAGGAGGATGAGGATGAGGAGGATGAGGAGGATGAGGAGGAGGAGGAGGAGGAGGAGGAGGAGGAGGTGGAGGAGGAGGAGGAGGAGGAGAATTGCATGCAGGTAACCCACCTTTGGCCATGGTAAACGCGGAACTCGCTCGAGGTACACAAGACGGGTTCGCGTAGCCTTGTGACAGTCACCTCTACCGTTGCTAGTAGACGCTGGTCCAACGGTTTAAAGTAGTACAGTGGGACCTCATAAATAGCACGAAGTTTTCGTTAGGGTCTGCATGATGCACGGAATCAACAAAATGTGCGAGAATGGAGCTGCTTATGCTCCTATTTTCGCTTTCTCTCAGCCATGCCAGGAGGCGTATTGGTGTGCTTTTGGATAGGCACCGACTCGTGCGGACAACATAACCTGCCTATACAAGTGAAGGAGTAAATGCACATGGAAGTGGTCTGAGCTGACAACCTTTCCTGACCTTCTCCATGTAAAATAGGGTTGATCAAGAATATTACCTCAACTCTTGCTGCTGGGAAGGTACGTGAAACAATATAGTTAAGTCGTCTTCTCTGAAATTCATTCACCATATCGCCTTGAAAGAGGACCTTGAGAAACAGTGATTTCTTTTCTGCCGGAAATTTTATGGCACGTTGCGTTTCTCTTAGAGAGATTTTAAACTTCCGAAGTTTGTATATTGTCATGACTATGTTTTCTTCCGATAGACTCTACTCCGAACGCTACCGTCACCTCTTCTGCTTAGCGAGCCTGTCTTTTCAATCTCCAACGTAAACCTGCTCAAAGGTGTGCCTGATCTGCAGTGCCTAAGAGGGCAGCTACGCTGGTTTTTGCAATGCCAATTACACAAATGCTATCACTGTAGGTATCGTAATGTTTTCGCCTACAGATATGATAGTTCAGTCGAAATTTCTCCTGTTTGTTCATGAAGACATCGGTTAAGAGAAAACCAAGCTGCAAGACCGCAAGAACGTCGTCTATTTATCCATATAATTGTTTGTCAAAAAGTTGCACATTTAGCCTGCATCCTCGTAATACTTCCTTGTGTTCGTCGGTATTACAATTTCCTACTGACTGGCCGATAGGAATTCAAAAATGTTACTGACTATCTTTGTGACGAGACGTTTGTGAGGAGTGATGAGACGTCTAGCAGTAACATCATTACTTAGCTTAGGTTCAAGTCTTTGAAGTCGTCAGAGAATTTGAAGGTATCCCAATAGCTACGTTGTGCTAGTGAATTCCATACAGACTCGAGTTTCTCGATTTATCATTTCGTCATCGCATGACGTGGAGCGTCACACATGTCCAAAACCGGACAAACTGGCAAGCCGTCTTTCTGGATCTTCGGTTGCCCATACAATCGAGAGATTATGTGTCGAATGGTCGGAGGTGTTCGAGGTCCCGGTCCCTTTTGACAATGTGAGTTTCACATTTCCATATTCTGTTGCAATACAAATACTTTCTCTTCAGAAATGCTCCTGATAACTTTTTGCCCAAAAACTCATGATAAGAAACTCCTTGCGGCAGTCAATGGAGTATCCGTTGCGTATATATCAGGCTAGTAATTTTCCTAAGGACAGTTGGAGGTAGGCGATCCTCATGCCTTATTATCTGTCGGGACAACCCCAGGAAGGCTTCCTTAAATTACTAATAAATAAGCAGGTATTGGGAGAAAATTTGTCCTTCTTCAAAGAAGGTTTTTAAAATTAAGGGAATGTTATCGACGAATATGATGAGCATAGCGATTATGAACTGCTAGGTTTGAGAGATTGGATAATTTATATATTGCTGATAATTAGGCCTAATAACTGTTATCTGGGCCAATTGGTTGTAGCTGTCTGTGGAAAAGTACAGTGATAGGGAGAAGTAACGCTCTGGGATGAACCCCAACAGCCGCTCTTGCGTATTTCTTTGAAATTTCATCTCTTGATGGCCGTGTCTACTCAATTTGGCTTTACAATGTTAGTTTTAGCGCGGTGATAAATTGACCCGAGAGGACAGAGGCAAACGAATATATCGTGGTTACTACTCTGAGTCAGCTCATGGACGTCTAATCTTCTGTCCTGAGCCTCCAACTGCCAATTTTCTGAGTACTGAACCTCACCTTGAACGTTGGAAAGGTATTTGCCGATGGCCAAACGGCCTCAAGTGTTAGCCCTAAGTACAAGGTCGAAGGGCTGAAGTCAAGCGCTGATAGGTGAAATCTCGGTGGGTGCAAAGGGTGGAGTCGAATGCGCGATCGGCAATATAAGGCAAAAGCGCGTCCCATCCAAAGTGCATTCAACGAGGAATCATGTTTTAGACAGGAACACTAGTGAAGCAGCCAACTATCCCATTGATTATCAGTTCAACACTTGTTCACACCCCCCCCTCCCCAGTCAACGAACATAAACCTAGGTGGTATAGCTCCCAGCAGCAATGGCGCTGGACGAAATAGATGTTGACACTTAAGCCCGGCTCGCACCGATTGGTTAGTGCAAGTATGCGCAAGCCTTTTCTCTTTACCATCTTCGTTAACTAATGAACATCGGGATGGTGATGTCCATACAGGGCGTACAAACTGATCCCTTGCTCATCGGTCATTTTTGTGGAATTCAAGAGCAATAGCTAGTGCCGCATAGTCAGCGAACGCGCACGGCCTGCAACTCGTAATATCGGTTTTTGCCATCTATATTACATGACATGAGAGAACATTTACAGATGTAGGTTTTATTGCTGCTGAGTTGCGATCTAGGAGCCACAATAAATCCGTGGTTGTTTTAGGCTGTGCGGTATCGTGAATGAGGTTGCAGGACTTAAGCAGAAGAATTCTACGGTAAACCCGTGGTGGAATCAAGCGGAGACAAGGTTTCGTTGTATTAATTGTAAAGAGAAAACTACTGTACGCATGGATAATGATAAGGGTCAACCAAATAATAACCTAGTCAGCATTTTCACGCAGTGCTGACGCAAGGGTGAAGTATGCGAAAATCCGACATAGTTGACCAGGGACAAGCTACAATGGTAGGGGACGCTCACCGATCGTTTTTAAGGAACTAACCCGTTCAGTTCTGCCTTACGGGCTTTGTCTAGAGCCTAACCAGCAGTCGCACAGCGGCGCATGATATAGCCAGTAAGTTATTACCGATAAAGACAAGGGAGACTCTAATGGCCATTTCTGGCTTATTAGCCGTCGTCAGCCAGTCATACCCAACCCCGAAGTGTGGAACACCCGAGGCTCGAACTCGCGACCTGTTAGTTAGAGGTCCGCGCCTCTAACCACTGAGCAACAGGCTCTTTGTCCTGTCGGTTTTGATCGGGAATATACAATGGTAGGGGGCGCTCACCGATCGTTCATACGGAACTCACTCGTTCCGTTGTGCCTTAAGGGCTCTCTCTCGAGCTCAACCAGCAGCCGCACAGCGGCGCATGATATATAGGCCGAATGGTATTACTGACAAAGACAAGGGAGACTGGAATGGCCATTTCTGGCTTATTAGCCGTCGTCAGCCAGTCATACCCAACCCCGAAGTGTGAACACCCGAGGCTCGAACTCGCGACTTGTTAGTTAGAGGTCCACGCCTCTAACCACTGAGCCACGACCCCGTTGCCCTGTCAGTTTCGATCGGGAATATACAATGATAGGGGGCGCTCACCGATCGTTCCTACGGAACTCCCTCGTTCCGTTGTGCCCTACCATTGTATATTCCCGATCGAAACCGACAGGGCAAAGAGCCTGTGGCTCAGTGGTTAGAGGCGTTGAACTTCTAACTAACAGGTCGCGAGTTCGAGCCTCGGGTGATCCACACTTCGGGGTTGGGTATGACTGGCTGACGACGTCTACTAAGCCAGAAATGGCCATCCCGGCCTGACTTGTCTTTGTCGGTAATAACATACTACAAACTGCAATCTTCGTCAAGATGATATCACTCTAACTCCTTAATCGCAGTCCTCAAAACGGTTAAGACGAAATATAAACTACTACTTTCTTAGCCTGACGCTGCGGAGGGAACACCCCTCGTCTCTAATCCCTATCAGCATTGCATAACGGATATGCAGACTCGTCAAGTCTGTAGATGACCTGGGCCCTTGAAAACATTTCTGAAAACTGGCCTCCCGATCTACTTCCTACCTATTCCGCGTCGACAGTTCGAACGTCGCGAACAACGACGTCAACCCTCTGCCTTGTGTGCGAATCCGTTTGCAGAGGAGCAGGCTTACGCAAAATCTATCGCACCCCCTCCTACCTCATCCGCCAGGCTCCGATGACGGTCTCAAGACTGTCGACTGTGGACTCGGACTCGGTGTCTGGTAAAGCTAACCGGTCCGTATCCGCGTGCCACACACGCCCTGTCTTCATAGCATGTGCCCGGGCATCTGTAAGGGCGGCTCGGTGCTCCCAAAGGTGAAATCCCCATAGAGATTCGCCACCACACCCTGGCAGTAAAAATGGGCTCGTGCTGACTCTGCGTAACCCACCTAACGCATGCCGTGTGCCAATCTGGCTCTGTTTTGGTCCAGCTCATCCACAGCGCAGCCCACTGTGGGGGGCATATCAAGAGAGGTGTACTAACAGAGCAGAACTATCTCGGAAATCCCGTTTGTCAGTTAGAGTTCCCTCACCAGACTAATGTCAGGAATTCAGAACGCGGTCATTGGAGCGGGGGGGGGGTCAATAACTCAGTAAGCCGAGTATTGTACCTCAGTGAACATCACTAAACCAGAACACACTTCAGATTTCACCACTTCTGGCCTGAAATTGGGATCCAGATGACCCAAAATAGCGAATAACCAGGGAAACGTCAAAACGTATTTTATATTCTTGCTGATGGACTTGCTCAGAAATCGAAATCTGAAGACGAGGTACTATGGGAATTTTCGCAAATCGAAATCTGTTAAAATCTACTCATGGACTTTAAAACCCATGTGGACTCGTAAATCACCTAAATCCAGCGTGGAATCATTGCCTAGGTTGCACACAACTCGTTTGCTACCAGTATTGGGAATTAGAGTGTTTAAAAACCGGTGTTTAGCGTTTTAAAATCCATAGTAACGCATGTACTTGTGTCTGCTTATACTTATGATAAAGCTTCTGCTGCAAATTCGAAAATACATGACCCTGGAGTTGACTGCAAGTGTATATCTTCTTATTTAAGATGTAGCCTATTTTTTTCCACTAACCAAGGATTTATGTATACCTAATTACTTCAGGAGAGCTCAAAGCTCCCATTAACGTCACTACCAGTCGTAGTTCAGTATTTCCTTCAAATCCGCCCTGTCACTCAGATAGGACAATTTACTGGGATAGAATCTACTGAACTACTAGCATATTAATAACGAATTCTGGACCGAATCAGAAGGGTCATTTTTCCATGTTCGCATATGAAATTATAAAACCTAACAAAAATAATTTCTTCTGCCGTACTTCAGCTGCAGTAGAGAGAAGTGCAGTTATGTCCTGCTTGATGTCGTCAGGTTGGTCACGTTTCATGGGTAATAAAGCAAACCATAGAGACTATTCGTCATGTTTAAAAAGTTATGTCCAGATTTCATAGATTGTCACTAAATAACTCCTTTTAGTTATAATGACTTGCGCTTTTTACGATATTAAGCCTACTGGCGTCAAGCCGAATTAAAAAGAGGCACTAATCAGGCAATTACTTAATTAGGTATAATTTCTGGCTAAATGGAAACGTCCTTTGCCCTGCCGAACTTGCTCGTCTGTCTTATGATATTTAGTCCTAAGTAACGTAGCCTGTTCTTGGTAATTTATCTCTAAAGGATATTTTCCACAAACTTCAAGATCAGAAGAAATCTGTGAAATGTAAGTTTATCCATAGACTTCTACGCCTTCGCCGAGTCATTGTTATTTATTAAGAAATGCTGAGGCCTTTAATAATTCCTATGCACTTATGCAGAAAGAGTCCGAATGTTGTTTAATCTTTTTAAGAGTTGTTAACAAAATGTCTGTCTACCAGAAACACAATATACCAGCAAAAATGTGCATCGTACGCAATTATTAGAGGGTAGATTGATTCTATATCTATTAGTTCTTGCCTGGATACCCGACAAGAGTCACCTTTTTATTTCAAGCGTGCCTTTGCCCTGGACGCTTAGTTATAAGCCGTGCAATTTCTAAGGATGCTAGCAATATCGTCATCATTAACGCGAAATATCAGTTTTATATTTGTATATTAGGGAACTGTACCTAACACAAGAATGGATCATAGGAGAGGAAGAAAATAATCATTCCTAATTTATCATGAAGATCATATTTAAAAAATTAATCTAATAATTTGAAGTCGTCTTTCAATCCGCCCCGTTTGCAATAAGCACACAAAACAAGGCTTCCGTGATGTCGGTATTTTTTAATTGCGCTCTCACTGAACTCTAGTCGTAGCCCAAGAAAGGCTGAGTCTTGCCTATTCTAATAAATATTCAGCAAAGAATCTGACATCCTAATTGTATATTATTTTATCTCAAACGAACGCAAACACCTTAATCAAATGGGCCTCCATAAATCAACAAGGTAGACCATATTCACTGTTCCCAGACGAAATGACAGTAAGGCTTCCAGCTGCCTCGGAGTGATTTTCTAGACCAATTTACTTAAGGCATTATCGCCAAAAACCAGAAATTTCCTGCACGCTTTAAAGTCCAGCCAAAATTATAGGTCAACAGTCTTCAATTATATGCCGCCAAGATTTAAATTGCGCCTCAGCCCTTGTCCTGACAAAAAATGAAGTGGAGACTTGATAGCAAATTCATTGAGTCGGCAGATCTACCTCTTAAAGGAATTTTGGGCCACAGACGTAAGTACTAGTCATTTTAAACAAACTTCAGATTTCAGCTGACCACAAAATTTTGGCTTCCACCTCTTCTGCTTTGGCTCCTTCCTTGAACATCGACGTTCATTCCATTATCACAGGCGCCTGCTGCAGCCGAACCTGCCTGTCGGTCTGGACATTATTAGCATCCTCACGCCATCCGATGAGGGATGTAGTCGTCCAAAAATCGGACTGTCAGCCCTTGTCGTACCGTAGGCTGAAGGAAGTTAAGTGAATCTAAACTGCCAAAATCTCTACCTGTGAGGATATAACGAGGCCAAGAATGGACCAAACCAAGAATATGAAGCTCATGACCCCGAGTATTTTCTTCAAAATGATGCGTTCTAGCACAAAATCAGAATTCACGACTCCCAGACGGTTCCTAGCTTGAGGACGTTTGTACCACTGAACAATCCGGAATGATTGTACGTCTCTGCTATGCTTTGATTCAACAAACCATGGCCCTCACAGCCTGACATTCATTGGCAGTTCTCTGACACCTGATTCCCTACCGGTAGATGAGCTTGCGCTCCCGCTAGGTATGCAGGTCGTGACCATGGCTGCCTAGACATCCCCGTCGTCCTTCTGCCCTGTTGTGGTGCTGTTGCTGATGGTTACAATTCTGGTCAAGTGTTTGTTGTAGACCAGAGGCTGTGGTGGTACGCCTAGGTGCGGGTCCCTTCGTGGCAACCACCTGAGCCCTCCCTCACCTCTGGTCATCTTGACCATGTCATGACATCGGGCAAAGGTGAGCATGAGATAGTGCGGCATATGCTGCGCAAGTCTACTCTCACAATTGAACTAAAGCACGCTCAAAGCACCGTGCCTGCTTTCACCTTGCTGTGGGGCACACAGTGGACATCGTCGGCAACAACGTTTGAACTACCACTGCTGAACGGAGCCATCGGAAGTAGCTATGTGACACTTACTTTGTTAAAGTGCTCCAGTGGTTACGGAAAAATGTATTATCACGTACGAGATATTCACTCCGATAAGTTAGTCATTTCTTTCTCAAACGTTAAATAGGGAGGGCTTCTTAAGGTCGTATTTGTAGCTTTATTCGCGATTTTCTCTCCATAGTGAGGTGATGCCGCTCAATCCAGGATTGGACACTGTGCATCAGCATTGTAATTCCCACGTCCGGTGGTCCTAGATCCACACGATCGCACAGTGACGAGGTCCTGAGGTCAAACGCAGGTGCGTAATGAGGATGGTGTGCTCCGCAAAAGACCACAGCAGAAGAGAAGCCAATAGCTCTTGCATTCGTCGGCTCCGTGAAAAGCAACTAATCCATCCCGAAGTAAATTTCCCCGGCCTGTTCATGCACTTCAGTAGGCGGTGTGGATCTCGGCAGGATGGGGGGATACGACGGTCTACTAGCGCGAGCGTCAGCGCGCCGATTGCCCATACCGCCTTCGGTTTGTTTCGTACGCCTGTCAAGCACTGCGCTTGCGCCTACAGGACTCAGCCTTCGGCTCGCAGCCACCGTGACGCAGTAGATATTGTCATCTTCATCGATTGGTCGAGGTCGCGCAATCTCAGGTGCAGGCAGACACACACCTCACGTGCGGGCGAATAACCTAAACGGCCACTGACACGGCTCGCGAGGGCACTTGCTGCCTCTGCTTGCTGAGTCGTATGCACGCCCTCTCGTCCCAGCAAAGGTTGTCCTTTTAACCCTCTCATCCCTGCCTTTCGATTAGGGAATTTCGAAATTGCCCACCTTTATACCTTGATAAGGAAAGGGAGATATGTAGTTGCGTTGCGGGTGGAGTCGACCCGTTCTTACTGGAGGAAGGCTGTTACATTTCTGACGATCTCGTTCGCAAATGCGGGTCGTTTTTTGCAACTCACCGGCTTCCGTCTGACAGTTGGTTTAAAGGAGAAAATTTGTGGTTCCAACTTCGTTCAGCTATTTTTACTGTGTGATTTAGGTTTCGGAGACGGCCCCGTTATATGCCTAGCACCCTGGTGTTTATTATCAGAGAGAACTGTTCTTCTATCCTCGTTGGTTGGATAAGGAGCTACCTAGAAGGTAAAACACACTGTATGAGGAAGAACGCTCTCCACTATCAACCAACTTGGAGTCCACTTCCAACTGTCGGTGTCGGAAAGTTATTAGAAAATTGCCTAGCTTATCCGACTTTTGTCATGCGACATTTGAGCTGAAAAATGTCTCAAACATTTCAATACTTCACTGACCCTATGGTGCACAGTATGAAGTTTGTATGCATTCATATCGAGGACATCTTAGTAGCTGTTGACAGTTAAAGACAATCTAGGGCAAACATTAAAATTGGCCTTGGTTACCACCTTGATGCTCAAGCCATTCCACTATTGATAGGGAAAATTAGGGCCACTAAATGTTCTACGGGTCCTAAAAGATAGTACAACCGCTAAATGATCGTTTTTTCATTAATCATAGGGCTCCCATGCCGAAGCAGCGCTCATTACTCATTCTGTGCGGTAGATGAAGTTGTTTTTTATGATGGATGTCAACTTAGCATTTGGCGCGACCTTCACCGTGTAAACG